GTCACCCTGCATTCCGGCATCTGCTGCTTTGGTTTCCTTCTTGACTTTTACAATCGTCTTCTCAGGAGAAGAGGCTGAGCGGCGTGTCAAATCGCAGTGAGGACTCCCACCTTTCCAACAGCACTGCCTCGGCTGACTTCAGGGGAGAGGAGCAGGGAGAGGAGGGAGAGAGGAACTGGCCGAATGGGCAGGTGCCTGAGATGCAGGAACTGGAGAAGGAGGCAAAGCCCAGAGCTGAAGAGGAGCATAAAGAAGCTGCTGACCAAGAGGAGGAAGATGTGGAAGTGGAATACAATGAGGTAGGAGCCTAGGAACTGCAGCAGAGTTGTGATAAAAAGTGGAAGGACTTGAAAGTTTTGGTGAAAATGGTAAATGGATGTAAAGAGTGTGATTTGGGCATCACTGGAGGCAAATACAGGCTGTGGAAGCCAAGTACAAGTAGAGGTTCAGGCAACCTGTGGGAGCTGGGTCCTTGGGAGACCAGGAAGGACAGTGTGGGAGCCAGGCAGGGACTGTGGGGAAATCAGCATTACAGGTTTGAGTGCCCTCAACCCCTGGAGCTGACAGAAGATGTGTCTGGGTGAAGGAGCTGATATGGAAAAAGGCAAGTATGGTGAGATTTTAATGTGTGTTCCTGCATCTTCTTTAGCACAAAAGCAGCAGCGCTGGCTTTGCCAGTGTTGGTAGTGGGGGGACGGCAGGCTTCTGCACTGCCTCCAGATACGGCTGTTGCCTGAGGTTTACAGCCTTTCTGGGGCTTTGCCTTTGTAGCCCACTGTGCACTTTGCTGAGGACACACTAATACGGAGTGAGGATGAGGATGAAGACGAAGAGCGACCATTCCCAGTGGAGAAACAGAGGCTTATCCGCAAGGACACGCCCCATTATAAGAAACACTTTAAGATAACTAAACTGCCCAAGCCAGAGGCAGTGGTGGCACTCCTGCAGGGGCTGAACAGCGAAGGAGTCCCCAAAGAGGAAGAGGAGTTAGGAGGCTGCAATAACAACGCAGAGCCCGAGGATCAGGAGGGAGCATGGGATGAGGATGACAGAAAGAATGGAGCTTTATCTGCTCAGCCATCAGTGAAGGTAAGGTCTTGAGGGGAGGGGGGAAGGTCAGAGGGGTGCCAGACCTCCCTGCTGCTACTTTGAACTACCAGCCACGTTGATGTGGTGCCAATGCAAACGTTGGCAAGAGGCTCTAGCACTTCAGGAGTGACGTGCTGAGGGAGGGAGAGATGAATTTCGTTCTGGGGCTCATGTGACTGTCGAAGAGCTGTGCCATGTTGCTGATGTCTGACTCCTTCCGCCGTATCCAGATTCTTGCACCCTCCCCATTATGTGTGATGTGTTCCGTGCTGCAGGAGGTTCTTATGTCTCATCACCGACAGGTTCTTCCATTCCTTTCAATCACCTCCTCGCTTGCTGGTTGTTGCACCTCATTTGCAACAGGATGAGCTCTGTCCCTGAATGGATCTAATCTCAGGCTAATGTTCAGGCTGCTTACGCTCGTCTTTCTGCCACAGTGCTTCCTGGAGAGGAGCGGGTAGTGAGAGCAGACAGGAGCGTGCCCTTCCTGTTGGTTCCACCCTGGGCCTGCCTCAGCACAGACGCAGCCTGATGAAGCGTGCGTCGGGATTTAGGGGGACTTGTGCTTTGGAGTTTTGCCATTGCCCTAGGGCCATGATGGGCCCATCTGGTTATGCTGGGGGCTGATGAGATAGGAGGTCCTTGGCTCTACTCAGCTGAATCACCATGTTTGGTTAGGGGGACACAGAGATTCTTGCTTGAGGAGGATCCTCACAGCAGAATAGGGGTATACTGATGAGGGACACTGCATGAGGTTAGACCAGTTCTTACTGAAGGTGATGTGATGATTTTGTGAGGTGTATGTGGCAGGCAGGGATTAGGATGTGGCTGAATCTCCATCATAGTCTGATGCCAATAAATGTCATGGGTGAGATGTGGGTCTCTGAACTGGTGGAAGATGCTGGAGTAAAATCTGTTCTTGTTGTTACCACGCACGCTCCAGACTGCTGGGATCGTTTCCACCCCATGCTGGAGTTCAGATTGCTCTGGGGCAGGTTCTTGCACTGCAGTTTGCTTTGGAGCCTTTCTTTTGGTGGATGCTTGCCTTACTGTATCTGAGCTGATAGGCTTGTCCCATATTCCCTAGGGACAAAATATGTAGTTTCCTTACATTTTGAGAAGTTCTTCAGAATGAAAAGGAGTTGGTGCTGCTGCTGCTTGTAAGAATGTGTGAAGCCGTCTTGAGTCCCCTTCATCCAAGACTGCCATGCTTGGATTTCCAAATGCAAACCTTCACCCAAAAAGCTTATTTTAGTCAGGGTCTCAAAGCTGAGGATGCACTGACCCGCTGGCAAAACGTATAAAGTCTAAATAGGCATTGAGACCACAGGTTTGGTGGTGTCAACGCCTATATCTATCAGAAAAGTTATCTTTGTTATCGACTAAGCCTTCTGCCTGGAAGTCACAGTTTTCCTTTGGGGTTGGATGCCTGCTCCATGAAGGCAGATTTATTGGCTTGCCTCGTGAGCTGCGTTCCAGAGTGGGAATGTGGGGAGCAGTGTCCCTGCGCAGTGGAGTTTCAAGCAAGAGGTGCTGCATACGTGCATTGGAGAAGGAGGTAGGACAGGGCATCCTTAAACCAGAAGGTTTTTTGCAAAGACAGTTGATTTTCAAGAGAAATTCTAAGGTTTCCCGCATTTGGCAGTGGGATCCCTGGGTGTCTGGAGGCCCCTCCCTTTGCAGGAGGGACCAATGCAGTTTGGCCTGGGGTGGCTTCATTCCTGTGCAGCAGCTGGGTGGCACCAGAGGTCCCTCTGTGCTTTTCTGCCGTGTTGTTTAATCCTTCCTTCTTCACTGAATGACTTGGTACAGAGAGAGTAAAGTCAGCTAATGGTGTTCACCTTGTGAGCTTGGGGGTCACAGCCTCAGAGTGCCAACACGGACAAGATATGGCCATAGACACGCAGCTTCCGGTGAGCTGGGCCGAGGAGCACTGACACTCTGCATGCTGTGAGCCCCGGGAGCAGCCCTGTCGCGGGTGCTCGCTGGTAGGGGTGACAGGAGCGGTGTGAGTGGGGTCTGCTCTGGTGCTGTGTGGTCAGACCTGTCGGAGTGGTGTGCGTTTGTGTGTTGGGTGGTGGTGGTAGTGGTGGTGGGTTTGGTTTATGCTCCACTAATCCGCATGCCTCTTTGCTGGTTCCTGTCCTAACAGGGGGTGTCGTTTGATCAAGCCAATAATCTGCTGATTGAACCTGCTCGCATTGAGGAGGAAGAGGTCTGTACCACTCCTACTGTTCTCTCTCTGCCAAAAATCATTCAGTCTGCTTGATTTGCTTCCCAGGCTCACCCGTTGTTGTAGGGGAAACTGATCTCTCTGGGTCAAGTGGCTTCTGGAACTGACTGACCACAAACACACAGTAGGAATGGAGGACTCGGGAGTCTGCAGGGTGCTGTGTATGACCCTTTGGGACAGGGAGGAGGATCTAACTCAGGGCACTGCAATTGCTTGAGAAAGGTGGACTGGAGCTAACTATTGGTACATCTCATGCAGCCCCACTATAGAATCCCCTCAGGTCTTCACATGCAGCACTTTGGAATGTCAGAAAGGGGCAGGTAGCACTGTGGTGGCACATGTGTGGTGTTCTGTCCCAAGGTTTAAAGTCCTGTATCTTGCTGCCTTAGCTCATCCTCAGACTACGATGAATTTCCTGAATTTGTTTCCAAGCTTTCAGTAGGCTTGCCTGATCCTTTGGGTCAGCGGGCTTCCTGCAGGCAGTGTTTCCAAGGAACTGTTGGAAGCAGAATGCTGCTGCCACTGGCAAGAGACAGAAACTGTTGCCGGTACTAACGGCTTCCATGGAGGTATCTTCCCTTAGGGCAGTACAATGGTACCAGACCCGTGTATTACATGAGAGTGCTGGCCTCCTTCTCTCTGGACTCGGCTCTTTGCTACTCCCTCAGGTGTAAACTGAGACTTTTCTTTTTTCCTGTAGGAAGGCTTTTCTTTCTTGGTTTTGGAGTAAGACTTTCTGGGAGGGAGATGACAAATCCTTTCCGCTTCAGGCAAAACCTGAGCTGGCTTAGACGTGGTCTGCTGTTAGTGTGTCCTGAACGTTTGTCCATCTTAGATCTAGATCACTGAAAAACATACTAATATTTCTTACATTTCTCTTTTGCATAGCACTTCTGTCACTGAGAGGTAAAGCTGAGTATAGCCAGGTGCTTCCTGATCCCGCATTTGGGAAATCACCACTCTTGGTCCCTCTTTCCGGCTGATAGCTGTCGCGTTCCGTTTGCGGAGTTCTGTTGCTCCTCAGGGTGCAGTGGCCCAGGAAACCTCAGTCTTGTATCAGGATACAGTCTGTCTGCCTCTCCCTTGGCTCCTGCCTGTGTTCCACCTGCATCTTGCGGAAGTCTCCGTGGTGGCTGGAGAGGGTAGCTGGTTTGCGCTGGTGTCCCTGCAGCACAGTCTCCTTTGTGCAGATCTGTGCCCTCACTGTCAAGAACAATGTGGTAGTGCAGCTCCCAAGGACAAGCATGCTGGAGATCCACCACATGGGTGGTGGTGGCTGAGGATGCCCCCAGAGCAGACCAGCTCTGGGGGAGTGCTTAGCTCGGTGGATGGCTGCTGACCTCCCCGGTCAGTGATGCTCTGTCATTTTAGTAGAATCTTGCTGGGCCCCTACCAGGACTGCAGGTCATGTGGAAGATTCAGTCTCTGGAAACATCAGTGAAAGCAAACTGTGGGACTTAGGCTGAGGGTCCTGTAAGTGAGAGCTGAGCTTGGACACTGCGTGGCTGGGACCCCTCACTTATGCTGAGAGAGGTGCCCTTGCCGTCTTCCTTAGCTCGTTGGCTGTGAAAAGCACATGCCTCTCAGGGAATAGGTGGAGGAAAACAGGAGAAATATTCAGGGCCTTAAAGACTACTGAGCATCTGAGTAGCGAATTAGCTTGAGAAGTGAGCAATCCCAGAAATGGCATCTACCTGCTGTTTCCAGGGATGATTTCATGTCCTTGAGAAGAGCCCGTTATAGCTAAGCCAATGGGCTGATGAAACTGAGCAAGACCATTGCAGACTGGAGAGCCTGGTGCCCCTTGAGCAGCACAGTTTAAGTTCATAATGCTATCACATTCCTTGTGTAGTTTTATACAGTTCTTAGAAGGAACTACAGACTGTGTGTGCTTTAGACCTAAACCATAAGCTGGAGACATCTGCCTAGCTTCTGTCAGCACCCCAGCATCGGGATGCAGGGAGCCTGGTGCAATCTATGCAGCTGGTACTTCAGCTGTTTGTGCCAATGGGACTCTGCTACAGTGAAAGAAGTCATAGAATAGTTTGGGTTGGAAGGGACCATTAAAGGTCATCTAGTCCAACCCCCCTGCAGTGAGCAGGGACATCTGCAACTGGATCAGGTTGCTCAGAGCCCCATCCAGCCTGGCCTGGAATGTGCCCAGGGATGGGCCATCTCCCCCTTCTCTGGGCAACCTGTGTCAGGGTTTCACCACCCTGTAGCA